ACCACCCTCATTAAAACTACCCTCATGAAAAGAAATACTTAATTTTTCAATAACAGGTTTTTAGTAACATTTTATCATTTGTTTAATATAACATTTCATTTTATCATTAGTCCTTCAGTTTCACCATTATACAAGATATATATTAAAGTTTTCAGAAGATCAGTGATGAGAATAATTTCCTCCATGGCCGGGAAGAGCTCTGAGTTACAGTAAATAATAGAATATAAGGACAATTCTTTTCTGCAGTCTGTATCACAGGGCATGTTACTCACCCTCATATCTCTGCAGTACTAGACATATTGATATGACAAGACTTTATAACAGTGGCAGCTTAGTCTTTTGGGGTTTACTCATCCCAATTCTATGATTATTTATACATAGTAGTTTAAAAAAATTCTATATTAAATTTTGTTTTCACCAATTAAACTGCTTTCTAAGCTGTCTCTGCAGAATAGGCTAAGTACTTTGAACTATGTTCAGGGATATTCTAAGTAACCATTACATACATAAAAACACATAAAAAGTTGTTTTTTGAATTTAAGCCAATACTTATATGAAGGGTCTTCAAAAAGCTCAAGGAGAAATAGAGTTAAAAGAAACTGGAATTTTCCCACAAGCTTTTGGAAGCCTCCCTCAAGGCTTTTCTATATAATTGGATAATCCAGTTATGGGTAAAACAATAGCCTTTAAAGCGTGTTACCTCTAGATGTTACACTGTAGGATAAGCACTGGTCTGGAAACCACAAGATCAGCAGTTCAAACCCACCAGCCGTTCCTTGGAAACCTTACATAGGATCTCTATGTGTTGGAACCAATATCTCTGTGAGTTGGAACCAACTCGACGGTACATAACAGCAACAACCTTTGTTAGATCTCTAAGTTAGAATTTGTCATTTTACATGTAGCCTGATTAAATAAATAAGGACTACTTACTACTCCCAATTGAAAGTTATATTTGAGAACATTTTGGTGTATTATATCATACGGTATACAAAATTAAGATGGGTTTCAGAAAATATAAATGTACATAATTGATATGTTCAAAAACTGTATATTACATGGACTTGTTTTTCACATCTTTATTCTTATTGCCACTGCTACTAATAATAACTTTTCACAATTTATAAAAATATGTATATTCTGAAGACACAGGGAAGAAGACAGGGTACATATTGCTGTTTGCATTTTACAGCTGAGAAAACTTAGACTCACTAATTAACTCATCAGGAACAACAGTAACTCTCCCTTCATTATAGTAGTAGAAATTAGAAATCTCTTTAGTACTTCAAATGAAACCAAAAGACTGTCTTTCACGTTTTTCACATTCGGCCATCATGTAGCTAATGCAAATAATATTCTAAGAAAGCTAGAGCTCTTCAACTGCACCTTATTCCATCCTGCTATCTGTTCTCAACCTTAGTTTCCATCTTATAATGGAATTTCTTTTGCATACATTACAAACTAGACTGTGGATCCTGTACCTGCTGCAGACATAAAGCCATCATCCATCTCTGTTTCTGTCCCTCTGACGTGCAGCATGGGCAATGGCAGCATTTTAATCCGAGTGATGTGTTTGTGAAGCCCTAACAGCCCAGTGTGTACAAGGTATCAAGTTTATACACTTGATGCTAACTGAAGGCTCGACTGTCCCCTCCTCCTCCCCATGTGTATTCTGTGATGTGTAGCGTGTCCTCATGGAAGTGCAGTTACTAGTATGTGTTTTGATATACAGGCAAGAGAATACCCTGCATGCCAACAGTCAAGAAAGCGTTACATTGTCAATCTGCTTTCATTGTAGAGAGTGTCTTTAGGTACACAGGTAGACAATGCAATACTTATTTCATTGTTAACTTCTCTGAACTCTTTCCAATAAGGGGTATTTCACATTGAGTGTGTGAACATTGGAAGTTCGTACATGATTGATTTATTACTTTTTAGCAGGGCTCAGAGAGGAAGAATCAGTAAGTCTTATGTAAAACTCATAATATTTAAACTTAAATAAAATTTAAAGACTTTTCTGATTAAAATGCATCATGAAATGGTAAAAAAAAAAATGATGGAGAGTTTATTACACTGAGTGTTCTCCTTCCTTTCCTGTCCCACCATGAGCTCAAAAACTGAGGAATGGACTTATCAGCCATGAGTTGGGATTTAGACCAATGTGCATTTAACTCTGAAACTTGCCCCAACGTCTGATTTGCATACTTGGTGATTTTAATTTCATCACCAAATATCATCTCTTGCAGGCTGACAGGGAGACGAGTACAGTGATTTTTATGCACTTTTTTAAATGTTTATATTAGTTTTCAAAATGGTTTTGCTTCCTAACCCTCCCATTATATGAAGCCTCTCACTTTGAAAGTCACAGACGGCAGACTGGTAAGTCCATCAGTTCTCTGTCATTTTGAATATTCATAATTTTAGTCATTGCATAATTTTCTTTCTTAGCTCAATTATTTACAGTCTGTAAAAAGTTATAATTATTATTTAAATACATTAGTACACATCCGTTCACTGCTTAAACAACATTTTTCATCATTTTTCTTTTGCAACGGTTTTAGATTAGCACAGACTCATATTGGTGTAAATGTTTCTCACAAACTCCTTATGTATTGAAGCTCAGCTTTCATTTGTGTGGTGCTGTTTGTTGTTTGTTTCTTTGTGTTTTCACTTTCAAAGTAACTCATGATTAAAATGAACTTAAATGGAAACATAGGTAAAGTCTCTGAATCCTTTTCAGAGGCTTCATCCTTGCCCCACAAATATTTGTAGTGTTTGATGATGCAGAGTAACTTACATGACTTTGGAATGTCCTTCTCAGCTTTCTTTATGCTAGTTAGCTCTCACACCAGGAGACACCAGTGGCTTTCTTTTGGTTTGACATTTAAACTGAAGTCCACTTGCGAATTTCTGGTCTTCTAGAAGTAATGCTCCAACCACAAGTACATTTTATATTTCTCAAGTCGTTCATTCTATTTGGAGTCAACAGGCAAGCTGATGAGAGGGTTCATTACAATGAGTCAGTAAACATTTTTTAGCAATTAGTTTTCACAGATATCCTTCTGTAGCACAGAAACTCTTGCCTCTGTTACCTATGTACACTGACTGCCTTTGCATGGGGTCTTTTGGTCAGACACTGGGAACAAAACAAATTTAACGTTGTAACGTTGTAAAAGATCTTGACTGTATACATCTGACAAAAACAAAAATACAGTAAGTTTAAACCTTCAGGTTGTTTGTAAAATGTTGCCAAACCCATGCTGCTGCCTCTAACAGAGAGAAATCTGGGTTTTAAAATTTCAATGTTCTTTTCTTACAAAGAAAAAGTACATCTGTCTATGCTAAGTGCATGACGTTATGAGCTTCAGATAGAAATGTGGCTATGATTTGTGACTGTTTTTGGTTCAGAACGATGCTAGATGCTAGATTCACATGGAAGTGTGATAGAGTGGGAATGGGAAAGAAGTGCTGCCCACCGGGGTTGCTAACATTTTGTCTGTTGGCCTTTCTGCAGGAGAGAAAGTACTACAGGATGACGAGTTCACCTGTGACCTCTTCCGATTCCTCCAACTTCTTTGTGAGGGACATAATTCAGGTTTGTGAGATCCCAGACTCTGTTGTGGCACCAATATATATATATATATATATTTTAACACCAGTATGAACAGCAACCTTGTAGTTTCAATGTATGCTTCTTCTCTGTTGCTGTTGCTAAGTGCTGTAGAGTTGGTTTTCAACAAATAGTTTTTGGCATTATGCTATATGCATGGACAGTAACATATATTGCTCTTCCACCTTCAGAGTTCTTTCATGATCACTTCCCTTCATGCTGGTCAGTTTCCTAAGTTAGGGTAGACAGGTAATGTTGTTGTGTTCAGTGCAATTGAGTCTGTTCCAACTCACAATGACTCTCTGGACAACAGAATGAAACACTGCAAGTCCTCAGCCATCCTTATAGTTGTTCTGTTTGAGCCCCTATGTGAGTCCATCTTGTTGGGAGTCCTCTTCTTTTTCACTGACCTTCCATTTTTCCAAGTATGATATTCTTCTCCAGGGACTGGTCCCTACTGATCGTAGTTTCAAAGTACAGGAGTCCAAAACCTAAGGAGCATTCTGGTTGTACTTCTCCTAAGACAGATTTGTTTGTTCTTTTGGTGGTCCATGGTCCTTTCAATATTCTTCTCCAACACTGTAATTCAAATACATCAATTATTCCATGGTCTTTCTTATTCCTTGTCCAGCTTTTGAATGCATGTGGGTCATGCATACCTTAGTCCTCAAGTTGACAT